TTCATTACGATCAAATTAGATGTGTTTGTCAAGGTATGCTAGTACTAAAATATAAATATTAAGTGGTTATTGTTGTTTGTTGACTAAATTGGAACATCTTGGCTAGCTAATCGTCAGTAAACAACTGTCTTTTGAGAAGTACATTAGTGAAGTGAACACTAACTATGTTCGTACCCTGATTCAGATTAACTTATTACAGGGGTTTGAGCACTTCAACTTTATTTCAAGATCTTCTTTGAATTACAAATGTTAAAAAGTTGGTTTAATAAAAAAAATATTACAGTTCTAATTTTGAATTAGAAAACAAGTAAAAAAGTTGTACAAACACAGGTTACTATAGAAGCGTTGTTACTGGAATATGAAATTTTAATATATAAATTAGGTGATCAATGTGTTGATCTTACTAATACATAACAATATTTCGAACCCCTATAAAAGAAAATGTCCTATGCCTAATAATAAATATATCAATACAGAATTTTTATTACTTTTAATATATTTTTATCTGTAATAACTTCTATTCATTATTATCTGGTCTGTAGTAATTTCTATTGTCTTTGTTAATCTCTATTACTTCATTTTTGTCAATCTCTATTATTTTATTTTTGGTCAATCTCTATTACTTCATCTTTGTCAATCTCTATTACTTTATTTTTGTTAATCTCAATTACTTCATCTTTGTCAATTTCTATTACTTCATCTTTGTCAATCTCTATTACTTCATCTTTGTCAATCTCTATTACTTCATCTTTGTCAATCTCTATTATTTCATCTTTGTTAATTTCTATTACTTCATCTTTGTCAATTTCTATTACTTCATCTTTGTTAATTTTTATTACTTCATCTTTGTTAGTCTCTATTACTTCATTTTCGTCAGTCTCTATTACTTCATCTTCATCAGTCTCTATTACTTCATTTTCATCAATCTCTATTATTTTATCATTATTAATCTCTATTATTTTATCGTCATCAATCTCTATTATATTTTGAAAACTTTCTTCTAGTATATCGTCTTTATCTAATTCTTCTATACTATTATTATCAATATGATTAGAAATAATAGACTGTAAACGGTTAGATATTTTATAATTTTCAGATCCGTTAGAATTTAGTACAAGACCTGTCATTTCAAATGACTTTAGCAAAATATTAGAATCTATATTATTCCATACTTTTGATATCCAATTACTAATTAACTCATAAGATACTTTTTTACAATTGCCTCTTTTGGTAAATTTTTTCTTATCATAAATTATTCAATTTTCATATTTTTTTTTCATTTGATCCTTAAATGGTTTGTTTATAGAAACATCTGGTGGTTGTAATACACAAGTTGTTCCACTTGGTATTTTTAAAACTTCTAATCTTTCTAAATTTAATGCATTTACAATGTCATCATGTATATGGCTGCCATGTTGATTAACAAATATTATTCCTTTATTTTTGACAAGTCCGCCAGGTCTAGTCTTTATAACCTAATTAACAATTTAAATTAAATTAAATCAATAACTATAATCAAAATTTTTATTTATTTTGAGCTATTAAATACATATATATATATATATATGTATCTAATATATATAAAAATAATTTTTAGAACAATATATATGCAATGCAATAAATTTAAAGATATTAATTTATACAGTATTAAAAATAAATTTCTTAAATTATAGTATCAATAAAATAAGGAATATAGCCATTTTTCATATCAAAAATAATACATATATACTATACTAAAACCCAAATTTTAATATATATAAACCTTTATAGCAAAAAAGAATAGTAGTCCCAAAAAAATTTTTTTAAAAAAATGCAATTTTTTAAAGAATTAGAGCAATAAGCATATAATTTTTATAAAATTACAAAATTAAAATTTTTGGCCTACCATCTCTTTTTGCTATGAGGACCTCTATATATTAACCAATCTTTATTCTATATGTAATTGAGATTTTTAGATTTTTAGCATTGCATATATCATTATTTTTAGAAATTATTTTTAAATAAAAAATATTAGCGTTAGAAATAGATCAATTAGATCGGCAATATAGAATAAAAAAAAATTATGATTTTTAAGATTATACAAACTTAATAAATTAATTCTTATTATTATAACATAAAAATTTAAAAATTATCTAACAATTTGGTAACTTAACTTTTAATTTTATTTTCAAAAAACTTTATATATAAAATATATATATAATTTTTTGTAATTTTTTTTGAAAATTTTTCTTCAAGTTTTGTAAAATTTGGTTTAATCAGTTATAAGAATTAATTTATTAAGTTTGTATAGCCTAATAGAGATCTAAAAAAACTCCTCTATTAAGAACAGTATTGACGATCTATTAGTATTAGAATCATATAAAATAAAATACAATTGATCTGTAACTAGTATGTAGTATAAATAAATCTACATCTATATATAATCAATATATAATTTTTATTATTACTAACCTGAGGAATATATGTAAACAACATTAAATCACTTTGCATATTAACACAAGGTGTTGCCATTAATACAACATTATTTGGAAAATTTCCTTTTAGAATTTTTTTTAATCCAAATATTATTGTTATAGGAAGTTTTTTTCCTGATGCAGTAAATCCTAGAACAACAGTGAATCATAACTTATCATTACCAGTAGTTTTTACCTGTACTTCATGTACACTATGAAAATCTATTGTTGTATTTTATGGCATATCATACCAGATTGGAGTCTCATCAAAGGAAATGATATAATCTTTATTAATATTTTTTATTTTTTCTTGTGCAGAATTAAGAAAATCTTTAATTATTGTTGATTTATCTTCAGGAAATTTTTGAGAAACTTGTGTTCAGCTATGTAGTACTAAATTATTTCGATTTTTAAATTGTTCAGCCCAATCATATGAAGCCTTAAAATTTTCCAAACCAAATACTTTTTCAAGTTCTTTTGCTTTTTCTTGAATCATAAATGCAGTTACGCAATTTTTTTCTTCTTGCATTTTTTTAATAAAATTTAATAATTTCTGTTCCAATTCAGAGCACATTATTTTTTATCCACATCCTTTAAGTACTCATACCTGATTTGAATTTAAGGTTCTATTATGTTTGATTGCTTCAAGCTCTGATTTTTTATTTATCCATTCTTTAACTCTTTTTCTATCTATTTTATAATGCCTTGCTGCTTGGTGTTTAGATGTTTCTTTCACATATGATATTACTTCTAACTTGAATGCTACTGTATAACTTCGTTTTTTACTATTTATATTGAAATTACTGTCTTTATTTATAGCAATAATTATAAATAGATTTAAAAAAATATATTTTAACAAAACTTATATAAAAAAACTTTAATATAATTAAAATTTTTATTAACTTTATTCTGACTCAATGATATATTAATATTATATTGTGTCAATATTACAAAAAAAATTATACAGTACATTAAAATATAAAATATTAAATAATAATTTTATATAAAGCAACAGTCTCATACTTCAAAGAAAATAACTAAAGTTTGATGCACTGTTACATAAACATCTAGCATAACAAATTATTAATTTGTGTTAGAGTCTTACTATCTTTTGTTTTGTTATACTAGAATGCAAATCACAAGAATTCTGTTATAAGAAGCTCTTTTCAAAAATTTAAACTGCCTATTACAAATGAGCATTGTTGAATTAGCAGCTAAAAAAAAAAAACTGATACCCATATTGTCTCGAAATAATGTCCCATAGTGTAGTTTACAGCTGTTCTCATAAATTCTGAGACAATTGATAAAAATTGATCTGCCAAATTTGATAAGTTTTTGAATTCAGTGTTATTGAATTACTATAATGCCGAAAATCCAATTCTGATAACACTGAATTCAAAAACTTATCAAATTCGGCAGATTAATTTTTATCAATTGTTCTAAAATTTATGAGAACAGCTATAAAATTTTGGCCTGAATTATAGCTGTTCTCATTCTAGAACAAATAATAAAAATTAGATTAACCAAATTCAT